TTTTTTGTGAGTCTGATTTTTTTTTTTTTTTTCTTTCTTTGTTCTTGTGGGGCTGTGGTGTCGTACCGAAAGAAGCAGGGCCCGACCTTCAAGCAGCGACCGTGCCTTCCACTGGCCGACCCCCAAAGGTGTCGGCGCGTTAACGGGGAAGGCCCGCGGCCGATAGCTGGGCCAAGTACTGGTGGTTTAAGATTTCTGAAATTGAGATGTTGGCAAAATTTCATGAAAATGCACTTTTGCCTTGCTGTTTCATATGTTTTTTTTAGATTTTTTTTTGCAGTTAGTTAGTATGGTCTCCACTCTACGAATTGGTGGCAAGTTTGATTAAATGACCCTTTGGTTTTCATATAAATGGCATGGCAAGTGGTCTGAAAATTAGGGTCTTCTCTCCGAAGTTCGTGGCATTTGCAGGGGGGGATGAATCCGAGTCGATGGAGGGCGGACAACCAGGGAGACATTGAGGGGAGGTTCCTGACGCGGGACAGGTGTTCACAGACAGGTAGTCCCTACTCATGTTCGTCATCACCAAGGCCACAGTCCTTCACCGGACAGTTGTACGACGGGGGGTGAGGTGCACCGATTCATGTCCCGACAACCCCCCTCCCATCTTCGCAGTCCCATGCAGACACAGCGGGGCAACGTCCCCGGTCCCATGTTCGGCCACTTGCGGCTACTATGCCTATTGGAGGTGGTCACATGGGACACACACCTTACGCCACCCAAGTCAGTGGCGAGTATGGCGTGAGCGGTGCACAGACGTTGCCGGCCGGAAGTGGGTTGGACTTTGCTGCTCACATGTTTCCCACAAAGCAGACATTTGATAGGAGGAGCGCAATACGGAATGATCGCCCTTGGTCCCCGCAATGTACGCAGACTTCGCAGTCGTCGCACAACATGTACTCCTGCACCTCCACTCTATCCAGCAGGCGATCACCTTCCGATCCCCGTCCTTCTGTGGCGGACGTGACATGGACACCGCATTGTGGGACTTCTGTCCCGTCAGGGTTCGGCTGCGATGCCACAAATGGCTGCGACGATCAAGCGTGCGAGGATATGGAAGACGACACCATTGTTGAAGATGGAGATGATGTGGAACACGATAATGGCTATGGAGGCAGTGTTCCAAAAATGGAGAAAGGCGATAACTGGAATGGGAGAAACGATGACAGACGTGGGCAGAAAAAAGGTCAGAACAACGAGCCACAAAAAAAAAAAAAAAAAAACTTGGCCTGGACGTTGGAGGAGAGGATATGGTTGGCAAAGATGATGGGGGAGGATGACGCGCTCATGGTTGACGCCAACGACAACATTAGTTAATGAAAAGGAAGGAGCGGTATGCATAGGTGGCTGATCGCATGGCATCTGGCGGGTATCATTAGAGAACTGTGGAGGATTGTCGTAAGAAGTGGACGTCCATGTTGAAGAAGGCGAAGCCCACTTGACAAGTGCGAGAATGCGTCGGGCCAACCATCGTACTGGGACACAGACTTGGAGAAGCGGAAGGAGCTGCAGGAGCCACTCGCCTTCGAGAAACTGCTATGGGATGCCATGCAATGGCAACTGAACAAACCATCTATGATATGCGACGAGACATTGGGGTCTGAGGACCTGCCCGGAACAAGAGGAGGAACGCCGCCTTCGGGCAGAAATGGATCCGAAAAAATCGGATCTGAGGCGAGAGGAACGAACGACTTGGAGAGCACAGCGAAGATGAGGAGAACCTCGTCAGGAAAAACTAGCATGGACGACGCAGGGACCAACGATTCGACTTTGGCGAGGGCGATTGAGGAATCGACACGATCCTACTGCGATGGTCTTGACAAGGCTACTTGTACATTGGCGAAGGCGACATCGGATGTCGGGACTGCAATGGCAGCGAAGATCTGTGATGTGGCGGAGGCGATGCGGGGAGGGAACACCGTCCTCGAGATGCTCGTTGGGGTTCTCGCCCGCCGCTATGCAGGGTCTGCCACTGGTGACAAAAGCGACGGGTACACAAACCCGTCGTCAAATAGAACTGCCCGGTAAACCGTAGGCAGAGAGGGAGAAGAGGACAATAAACGAGGGGCTGTGACAAACTGTTTCGTCGGAGTTTCACCGACTCATCAGGAGGCTGAACCCTCAACAGTCTGTAGAATCCCCTCACTGATTACACTGTAAGTGATAATCCACCTTAACCAAAATCAAAGTAGACTATCACTCACCCACATATGAGGCGGCAACACGGTGGATTGGTACCAGGCGGAACCACATGGGCCCACACACAAATACAAAAATACATATATATACGTACGTGTATATATATATATATAAACATACTTACATATATGTATTTATGTGTCTACGTGTGGGCCATACGGTTCCGCCGGGTACAGATCCATCGTGTCGCCGTCCCATGCTTCTCTAGGAACCATGGGGACTGGCAGCAGGTCGGGGGACGTCGTCATTATGAGCCATTGATTGCAGAAAATTGATTGTCACATGACTGCTTCCCGTGTACGTGGTGTGACACCCAACCTCATGCCCAACGTGACTTTCTGTTTCAAAGTGGGTGTGGGCCCGGAAGTGCGTCAGAGGGGTGTGCCAAGGATTTTAGGAAAGTTGGGGTGGAGTCCCAGGTCGGAGTTGAGATCCCCGGTGTCAAGTTTCAAGGACAGGAGTGCAAGCGGTTCGACATACGAATAGACTTTCTGTTTTACCCTTTTTAAGACTGTTCGGCTAGTGTCGCCGACCCCGTCGCCTGGGGCGGGTTTGCACTCTGTGCACGTAGGGAACACAATGGGTTTCTCTCTGTGTAAACACTTGTCATCCTCTAGCTCCACAAATCTTTGAATTGACGTGGACAACCTCAGCCGGAGACTGTGTTCTCGGCGTTCAGACTCGGAACGTATTCGTCTGATAAATTCTGCGGACCGATAGGCGTAGTACCGCTGGCACTCGGAGCACGGCCTTCGGGCCCGGTAGGGGGCCATTGACTCCCAAGGGACGACTGTTAGATTGTGATAAGGGAGAAGGAGATAAAATAGAGGGAAGTTGGTTCGACGACGACGAATCCCGGTGTTATGTAGTAATGGTGGTTGTGGGTGTCAGGGTAATCCGGGATTTAGGAATTTTGTTCGATGGCCCTCTGGAAGTCCCAGACACCTATGTGTCCCCCTAGGCCGTGACCACCTCCGACTCGGCCGCGGGCCCGCGGCCGAGGCCGCACGACCGAGTTTTTTTGCGACCGCGCCACAGCTAGGCGGCGGCGTGCGCGCACGGCCTGCGCACGTCGGTCGCTATCGGCCTATGAAAAAAAAAAAAAAAAAAAAAAAAAAAAATTAGGGGGGTGGTTTTTTATGTGTGACAAAAAAAAATAAAAAAAATCAGAAAAACAAAAATTCATTGATTGATTGTTTTTTTTATTGATGGATTGATTGATTGATTGATTGATTGATTGATTAATTGATTGATTGATTAGTGGGGGAGGGGTCCTCCCTCCCCTCCCCAGCACACTCACACACACACACACACACACACACACACACACACACACACGCACACACACACACAATCAATCAATCAATCAATCAATCAATCAAACCCTTTTTTCGTTTATTTTTTTCAATTTTTGCACCTTCATTTTTTTAAATACCTCATTTACTTGAAAAAAAACGAAATTCATTTCTAAAAAAAATACAGCACAACTCAAGGACCATATCCCTCATGATAAAAAATGACAAAAAAAAAATCCTGCTTTTCTTTTTATTTGTTTTTAAATATTTTGTTTAAATCGAATTTAGTTTTTCATTTTTGAAAAATCTTAAACGAAGTCCGATTCAAAAAAAAAAAAAAAACATAGGATTATAGGGTTTTCCAAGCCCTACACCCCTATATATATATATATATATATATATATATATATATATATATTAGGGGTAAAAAAAAAATTTTAAAAAGCAGATCGCAGACTGGGCCTCATGGGCCGCGGGCGCGACCGACTTTTTCAGCTGCAGCGACCAAAATGCCCGTGACCTAGACCGCAGGTGTCACATAGCCAGACACACAGGCGACCGTTCTCAGTTTGGTAGGGATAAGCCGGGAGCCTTAAGTCCAATTGGCGGAAGAGTTCTTCATTTTCCCAGTATTCATGTACTCGGGGTCCTGTAAATAGGCATGGTGGGTGATCCAAAATAGAACGCCGACATCCATATTTTGCAAAAAGGACTTAACCCATTCATTTGTGCGTACCAAGCGCGATCGGGTTGGGGACATGTCATGCAGACACGCGTATACGTGATGACTGTCGTTCTGATGGTCATTCTTATACGTGCGTGCATATGATCTGTCTTCAACAAAATTTGAGCCAAATTGCTACATACACATCTAATCTACTCCTAGTATTTTTATGAAGAGACGATACCCGCATACTTAATGCAAATCAAACAACCACTCGATGCAACATTCATCATCTTGCCGGCAGAAATCGATGCAACATTCATCATCTTGTAGGCAGAAGGAAGAAGAGAGGGAATAATTATTCCCCCGCATCAGATGTCAACCGCGTATGGATCATGCATGAGGAAGATCCAACCCCTACCTAGGCGCGGGCGCAGACTGTAACTACCCGCTATGGATGCATCTATCCTGATCCAGGTTTATTCAGGGAGACAACTTCTACAGGTTTAACGCAAAGAAATAGACAATGGACACAGAAACACGAGCGTACAAAAGGGTCGGGTCCATACATCCTTTCATATATCAAGAGGACGCCTATTTCATACACACCAGGCTCGACGATCGACAACCCTCCATGCTTCTAAGTCATAAAAAACAATCAATCAATTTTGGTGCCCACCATACATTATGAAAGGAAAAAAAAAAAAAAATGGGGGAGAGGAAGATAAGTCATGCATCAATCAGAGAAACGAAAATCCGAGAGTGTCGCAAATGAAGATCGCCAATGCCGAAAGCAAAATTATACAGAAGGTTCGGATAGAATAAAAAAGAAACATCACTCCAACACACCACTCTCTCTCTCTCTCTCTCTCTCTCTCTCTCTCTCTCTCTCTCTCTCTCTCTCTACGTTCCTTTGATGTGGGCAGTTCGTTGCCTCACACCTATCAACACCACAAAGTCGTTACCCCGCTTAGTCTGAGTCTGCAAGCCAGGTTCGCCCGAGTGCCACAGTCCCTCGCGGCCACATGTCAACCCCGCATACTCAGCACCAGCCCGTCAGATCGCCCAACTCCCTACTCACCGTCCTGTCTCTTCTCGTTAGACGATCCTCTCGACCTCGCTAACTCCCAAGTGTAGATTAGAGAGCAAGTTAGTCGCGCTTACAAAATTTATAGCACTCGGTACTTGCACGAGATACCGGATTACGTTGAAGCAGGATGAGAAAGAGAAGAAGGAAGTGCCTACAGCTGCATGACTGGACCGCGACGTGGGGGACGTGGCCACTCTCCACGCATCTATCCAACCATGCATCTTTTCGGCCAATGAGACAAACAAAAAAGAGACGCAGGTTTTAGCGTTGAGAATCAAGAAGGAGAAGATTTCAGTTACACGCGCGCTTGCCAAGAAGGAGCAAGAAGAGATTACAGTTGTGATTAAAATTTAGGCGCGGTAGAAGCAGAGCGTAGGACAGGACGTCGCAATGTGCGCGCGAGCAAGGAGCATCGTGCAATTACAACAACAAAACCCTGCGATAAACTCGCGATACCCTCAACTCTTAACTCAATTAAAGTCCTAATTTCTGTATTCCCCCATATTTCTAAATTCAAAAAGATTTTGCCCACGCGATAATTGTGTCAAAGTTCCCTTCCCGACTTTTAGTAGAACAAGAAAGAAGCTCAGTGCTTTAATGAGAGTTAATATTTTTCCCTTGAGTCCGTGACCAGGATTAGATCACAAAATGTGTGCAGTCTTACTCTCCTTCCGCAAAAAACCAGATCAGGGTAAATGTTTTTACAAACTTAACTCCTCCCTCCTCAAAAGAAAGGATTTTAGAGCCTATCTTCAAGATGTATGGAGTTACTGACACTCTACCAAAGATAGACAAGAATTATATATTGCATGGTTCAACAATGGTTTAGTTTATTTGGCCAAAAAATGTAATAAATACTCTAAACTAATTGCCGAGGAAAGGTATAAACAAGAATTGAATATTCAGGAATAAATTCTCAAATATGAACAACAAGATTCTTTAAAACAATTATCCCAAACAACTGATATCCTAGAACTAAGAAACCAACTACTATCCTTTGCGCAACATCGTTGGCAAGGTCATTTGATTAGAGGAAAACTCTTCAGACATTCGATAGAAGGACAAATGAATACATCCTTTTTTTCTCTGGCCAGCACCAGAATTTGACGAACGACTATTGAAGCCTTGATAGATCCTCAACAGACAGTACAACAAGAGACTACCACTTCAGCAAGCAGTCTGAAAGTGACGTATGACTTTTTTAAAAATCTCTTTATCTCGAAAGTTGACGAGTCGGTGGTGGATCCGATCTTACAAGATTTTTTGGCTCCAATAACTCAGGAATTGACGCAAAAACAAAGGGAAAGGTTAGAAGAACCTATCACTAAAGAAGAAATCTGGACTGCGCTATTGCAAATGGAAGAGGATAAAACTCCGGGTTTTGATGGTCTCCCTAAAGAATTTTGAAAAACAATGTGGCCATATTTTGCAGATGATTTAATGAAATTCTATAAACAAGTTCAAGAAATGGGTAGTATGGGAGAAATAGTTGGGCAAGGGATTTTAACCTTGTTATACAAAAAAAGAGAGAAAACGAATATAAAGAACTATAGACCTATCACCTTACTTACAGTTGTGTATAAATTGTTGGCCAAGGCCATCGCGAATCGTTTCATTCCAATAATGCCAGATATCATTCACCCCTCTCAAACGGGGTTCATTAATGGAAGGAATATACAAGATAACATATTGCTTATCAACGAGATGATAAAGTTATCTCGTCAGAATCACCGGAAAGCAGCCTTTGTTTTTTTAGATTTTGAGAAAACTTATGATCATGTGGACTGGAAGTTTTTGGATGCTTGTTCAACAAAAATGAATTTTGGT